TAGTGTTATTCACAATAGCCAAAAGATGGAAATAACCAAAGCATCCACTGATGAGTAAATGGATAAACAAAATGTGTTACAGCCATACCACTGAATACTATTCGACCCTAAAAAAGAAATGATGTTCAGATACATGCTACAACATGGATGAACCTTGAAAAAATTATGCTAATTGAAATAAGCCAGACACAAAAGGGCAAATACTGTAGAATCCACTTATATAAATATCTAGAATAGGCAAATTAAAAGAGTCAGAACATAAATCTGAGATTACTGTGGGCTGGGAAGAGGATCTAATAGGGAGTTATTACTTAATGCTTACAGAGTTTCTGTTCAGAGTGATGAAAATGTTTTGGAAATAGTGGTTATTGTTGCACAATATTATGAATGTAATTAATGCCACTAAATTGTATACTTACAAATGGCTAAGTGGCAAATTTATGTTATATATATTTTACAACAATTACAAAAGAAATATATGTATATTATTAGAAACTGGAAGAAAGGAGAATCTTGTTACACAGTGGCAGAAAGCTTCCAAAATTGTCACCTGCAGATCATGCATGTGTGAAGCAAGTTATACAGCTAAGGAAATTTCCAGGCAAAGTGTAAAGGTACTTCCTGGTTTCTTCTTGCTGCTTACAGTAAAATGCAGGGGGGAGCAAAAAATTGAGGGATGAACTATTAAACAAAAGTAACAGGGATTGGATGATTTTGAAAATAAGCCTCTTCTAATGGCAAAAGATGCTAAAATTACGAAACTGCTTTCAAGCACTGCCAGGAAAGATTGGTATAAAGTAAAAAGCTGAGGGTGTGACTGTACAACCTTAGAAAGAGCAAAAGATTAGAGTATTTAATTGTACAAAAGGTCCTTTCAAGAGGTCAAAAGCAAGCATGTGCCTCACAGATCCCCTCAATCACACCAGAGGGGCCTCTAGCAAGCTTAAGATATTGTCCCTCAAGCATCTCAGAAGGACCCCATGGTAGAGCAGGACTATCTCACAAAGATTTGCGACTTTAGCTTTTGTTTAGTGGAGTAAACCCCACGGAAATCCATGAAAGACTCATGTTTTTCAGAGTCATTTGGGCAAAAATACCAGTAGCTTGGACTAAAGGAGACAGAGAAAGTACAGATGAAATGCTGTTGGAAACCTAACATTCTATGGGCAGGAAGCAAGCTGATAAAATACCCAGCTGTAAGCACAGGCTGCCTTCATGAAAAAGGAAGAATGATTCAGGAAGCTGAACTAAGCACAACAGGCAGAGCTGAGAACCATGGAGCATTACACCCAGATCTTGAAACCTAATCAAGCAATTCCCAACACCTGCCATTCAGAATTTCTGTGGAGCAGTGATTCCTTTGTAATTTCATTTTCCCTGTTTTTGAAATGTTTAGAGCTATCATCCTTTGCCCATCCTACCACTGTATGGTGAGTGTATTGGCAACAGATAACTTGTCTCTTTTGTTTTAGAGTGATATGGGTCAAATGTGTGCCCCGCAAAAAGTTCATGTATTGGAAACTTGATCCCCATTGCATCAGTGTTAAGAGGGTGGGAAATCTGATCGTGGTATTTGAAAGGTGAGGCCTTTGAGAGGTGACTGCATTGTGAGGACTGTGTCCTTGTGGATGTATTGATCCATTCATGGAGTAATACGTTTCATGGGCATGGTTCTGATAGCTTTAAAAGGAGAGCAAGTGAGAAGATTTGTTTCTCTTGCTCATACGATTCACATCATCTGATACCCTACATTGCCAGGAGATCCTGTAGAGAGGTATGGCAAGAAGAAAGGCCTCACCAGATGAACCCCCTGGACTGTGGACTTCCCAGCTTCCAAAACTGTAAGAAATAAATTTCGTTTTCTTTATAAATTACCCAGTCTCATGTATTCCATTAAAATTGACAGAAAATGGACTAACACATAGGGATTGATGGACTGAGAGGAACTACACCCAGAAGCCTCATCCCCATATGACTTAAATGATAAAGTGCTAGACTTTGGTGAGATTTTTGATTTAATGAAATAAGACTTTTGGGAACCTTGGGAGTCAGTGAAATGCATTTTGCATGGGACGGGGGGCATGAATGATTGGGAAACAGAGAATTGACTGGGAAGATAGACTCTAAGGTGACTGGTGACCCCAGTGATCCCTGCCTTCTGATATTCACACCTGGGATTATCCCCTTTTCTTGACTGGGGAGGGGGCCTATGACTTCTAACCAAAAGAATACAGCAAGGTGATGATATGTCACTTTTGTGATTACATTACAAGTTTGTAATGCTCATTCTTGTGAGGAAACCCTCTTCCTGGCTAGATTTGAGGAAGAAGGTGACTACATTGGGAAGGCTCATTTGGTAGGAAACTGAGGCAGTCTCTGGATCACAAGTAAGAAACTGAAGTCCTTAGTTTGACACCCACAAAGAACTGAATACTGACAACAACATGCAGTCTAGGAAGTGGGTCCCTCCCCAGTCGAGCCTCAGATGAGACTGCAGCTCTGTCATAAGCCTTGATTGAAGCCTGGTGAGGCCTTGAGCAGAGGATACAGGTAAGCCATAATGGAACTCCTGACCCACTGAGACTGTGAGATAATGCATATGCACTGTTTTGAGCCACAGTGCTTGTTACATAGCAGGAAAAAAACTCATGCAGATAATGAAATCTGCATTTTGATCATATTTGCACAGAGGTCCATTCCTTCCTCTTCATTCGTGGTCTCTCTGAGAATCAGTGCTCCTACTAAGTTCCTGCTACTCAAGAAGATCCTTTTTAAAGGACGTTCAGAACAGAAAGACTGTCCTTGTGTTCTAAAGTACATGTAAAAAATAAGGTAGATTTTTTTTCCTTTATCTGTTATTTCAAAAAAAAAAATGTAAATATTTCTAAGATTAGAGTTGCAACAAAGCTCCCACCAAATTATATTCCATACATTGGAGATTTTGTTCCAGATGAACTAACTATAATCTTTGCATTAACCTTGAGATATTTTGGGGAGAATCGATTCATTCACTTGTGGCCACCAAGGATTTTTTCAGGGTTGGTGGTGTTTAAATAAGTATGATATGATTGCATTAATGATTTCATACATTAGTCCTTGGTATTTGTATTCTCCTAAGGAGACCATGGCCTCCTGTAATCTTGGGTTTAATTCTCAAATATCACCACTATCAGAATCAGGATGGTTTTTCCTTTATATTACTTAGGTGGTGAGACCTCCCACGTAATGTGTCAAAGAAGTCTAAGAGCCTTTTGCTTGTGAAGACCAAGGAAGAGACATCAGGTATTCATTTTTCTAGTTTTTATTAACCTCTTTGCAGCCTCCTAGAAAAGCTACTCAACAGAGAGGCTTAAATTTTATAAAAATCTTCCACAGTCCCTGCTCTTACCATCCACCTTTACTTAAGTTCAGATTTTCCTCCATTGAACATAAAGTTTTCTAGCCCAAGTAAACACTTCTCCTGTAAAAAAGGAACATTTTAAATGAAAGTCCCCCAAACATACCAGCCTTCTTTTTTCCGATCTTTTCCTGAACACATAGCTTTATGAACAATCATGTGGTTATAGAATATACACATACGTTAGCCACAGAATTAAATGCTTTCTTCCTTGCTGTGTGCTCAGCCTGGGAAAGGTGATACAACATATCAGGTTTGTGGTGATGCCAGATTCCAGGGAAGACTCTGCACACCTGAAAGTGACTTTGCCCTAATGAACTGTATTATGTGAAAATGTATAGCATTTAAAAACTTCCAACCAGTTCTAAATCTTACAAGGCTTAAAAATAGCAAGGAAACAGTTTCTCCATAATTGGCTTTCCACTTATAAACTGGTGTTAGGTAGAAAATGACAGACTGCACAGGACTGTCTCAGGCGACTACTTCGAAAATGACAAACCCTGCTTTTTAAAAATCATCTTTGTTTTCTTCTTAGTCAAAAGGAATGAAATCTTAATTGGCAAGTGGGAAACACAGTAAAGAAAGAAAGGAATGATTCTCCCTCATTGATTCTAGGTGGTAATAAATACCTAGTAGAGAACTATCTACACAGTAAGCTTGTTGGTTTTGTTTGTAGAAATACTAATCCCACAGCAAATTACTGCATGCAGTATTTTTATGAGAGGCTCCACTGAGCTTATGTTACCAAATACAAGCCAATTACATTTTAATTAAAAGGCGTTTAAAGCCATCTAATAAGTTTATGTCAGTATAGCAGGATACAAATCCTAATAGTACTGTGAAATTCACCTATTTGGGTTCTCTCCCAACAGTGATAAACTGGAATATACATTAAATAGGCAAAAAGATTCAACGATCACAACTGTAGATTTTGAAGCCAAAATCTTTGTCTAATTCTATACAAAGAGAAAAATTGTTAAATCCAAGACTAACATGCAATGTTGTCATGATGTGCTGAAAGCTTAAAATGCACATGGGAAAAAATCCCCACGTTGGGTTGCACTGAAGCCTCATTGAGGGTATTTGTTGATAAGACTAATGTGTAGTTATAGATCTAACCAAACCTCTTACTGTAGTTCTCACCTGCACTCCAGCTGCCTCATTTAGTTCTGATGTAATCTTTACCTCATCTGCCAATAGAATCTGGACCTGGGACCTTCTTAGGTCCTCCTCAAAATTGTAGCTTTTGAGAGGGGTCCAGTTGATGCAGATTTCTCACAAGAACAATCGTCCTCCAGCAGACTCACTTTCCAGGTCTCCAGGAGCCCAGCCTGGAGGTGCCTGCCATCCCTGGGTCTCCTGCCTTGGGAATCCCTCAGCTGAGACAACCTGACCATGCAGGCACCACAGCAGCCCAGTGATGCTATCAACAGGAGGCTTTGGTCAAAATTAAGTGATGTCAGAAAAAGAAGAGGACGAATCAGCCCAACGGAAAGGGATGCCACAGGTAAGCTAGGATCCAGAACTAAAACCGTGGGGAAACCGACCACACCAGAATGAGAGGAAGCATGAGGGGAGATGCTGGGTGCACAGTGGTACCTACCTTTCCTCGCGGTTCTGTCCCACGCACACCCGGCCCCCGTGCCGAGGAGTGGGGTTGCTGCAGGACCGCTGCCGCACCTGGAAGCCAATCCCACAAGTGGTGCTGCAGGGAGACCACGAAGTCCACGGGGTCCAGCCTCCATTCCTGTGGGGAGGGAGGAAACGCAATCACTCGGTCAAACCAGTTCAGAGTCCAAGCCCTGTCTGCACCCACTGCCAAATGCATGTGCTCCCTGGAAGGAGCATCTGGTTGTGTGGTGCCGGGAAGGGGGAACTCCAGCCATAGGGCTGAACGGACTGTGCCATGTGAATCTCAACTATGTGAGCCAGTCAAGACAGGAAATTCAAGAGTAAAGTTTAATGTTCATTGCAACAATTTTACAAGGGCTGTATAAGAAACTATTAATAAACTTTAGCTTAAAAATGTATAAAAATTTAACATTATAAAAATGTTAAACTTTAGTTATAAAAATAACATTATAAGAATGTTGTGCCCCTGAAAAACATTTAGAAATGAATCCCTAAACACCTAAAGTTTATGATTTTATTTGACTTTTATTATATCTGTTATAATCTATGAACGGTGCACCTTTGAAGAAAGCAATCATCTAAAACTAGACATAATGCTTTCTTTTAAAATCTATTAACATCAGTGAAAATCAATAACTCTCCTGATAGCATTCACATTGATAAAGAGTGCCATAACGTTAGAAGCTTTAAAACAAACTTTATTAAAAATGAACTAAAGATATTTAAATTCAGATTCTTGGGTATTTTCCTGAAAATTGACTAAGATGTAAAGAGCAGAAATAAGGAGTGCAAATTGCATCTGTGTATATGTATTTATGTTATTGTACATATGTAACAGTCTAGATATATAAAATATAAAATAAAAATAAGATGAACCAATTTTATAAAAGCAGTTTATAAAATAAACCACTATGGAGAGGAATTTTTTTAGTATTTTATTTTTTCCATAAAATGCTTGTATTCAGCCTATTTATCATTTAAAAGTTTCCTTTGCCAGTTTGTCTCTGCTATTAAGAAATACATTATTTTTTTAAAAATTTTAGGTATTAAAATATTTATTAAATCCAGAGTCCAAACTCCCACATAGATGGTCTAATTCAGTATAACTTTTTCTATTTCTGTAATCGCTTATGCATTTCTATGGATATCCGTTACCCTCATCCTCAGGATTTACATTTCCTTTGGAAAAAAATCATCACGCATTGATTTTCATTTTACTTTATATATTACTTTAAAAACATAAAGGTCCACAACTATGCATGAAAGATCCAGGTATAAAAAATAAGTTGAGTATATGTTTTCTAAGATCATTTCAAATGAAAATTCTTCTGAGAAAATTCTTAGTATATTTCATTTCTCTACTTTATTTACTGAAAATTAATAGTGATATAAATAAATATATAGTAATAGCTTTATGCATGAAACTTGATATAAATAAATATGTAGTAATAGCTTTTTCTAAAATAATTTCAAATAAAAATTCTGAGAAAATTCTTAGTATATTTCATTTCTCTACTTTATTTACTGAAAATTAATAATGATATAAATAAATATATAGTAATAGCTTTATGCATGATATTATAACAAAGTCGCTTTATGATAATTTAACCAAAATAATCACAAAATATGACAGATTTTCCAATGTTTCTCATAAAGGTACTTAGCTAGTATCTTATACCCTGCTACCTACAGTCTTAAAAATTATCCATATAATTCATTAAATTTTACTCTAAACTTAAATAGCAATTTCACCATAAATAAAATGGCATTTTTACTTCCAAAGTGTTTTTTTATATATGAAAAAAAAAAAGTGTTAGATAATGCAGAAAACACTGCTTCCAAAATTTTTGGGAAATTCTTAATTTCCTAAACCTTTCACAAACATGGAATTTATGATTTATTCTATTTACAATACATGGACCATGTTGTATACAAGGCTATAAGTAAATAAAGTGTGTGCGTGAATATACATACATATTAGGAATATAATAAGTGAGAAAATAAATAAATGCAATTTTATATGTATGAGTTCATTATATGGACCTGGGTTTACATACTTCTACATGCTGCTTAGAGGCAGACATAGTGGCAGGCAAAGAAGAAACACAGAATAAGCATATATCAGCAGATGGATCATTTTTAGGATTAAGTCAGTACAAAGCAATCCACTTATGCATTTAAGGCATCACTAAAACTGGTTCACTTATTTGATTTTTAATTTAAAAAAACCACTATTTGTATTACATCTGTTTAGAGAATAACTTTCCAACTAGAACAAGAACTGAAGATGTACCAATATGTCACAGTAATACACTTCATAGTACGTTTTTCCATTAAACAATATAAAAGACTATTAGCTACTTATTGGCATCTTCAAACAATAATAGTTTGTAGCTTCTGTAGAGTTTCTGCTAGGCAACAACGGAAAACGTTTTATAGTAGGTAAACAGAGCATAATACAATGTTGATATGTCTGTGTCTTGTGTGATACAAAATAATCTAGTCCCGGGAGCCCTAATTTGCTCCTTTCAGCTATGTGGTGAGGACCAATCTGGCCTATGAACAACACGAGCGGAGGTGAGCTGTGCCTTCTGCACCTGCCCCTTCCATTGCTGACCTCCCCTCCTCTGGGCATGCTGCCCTGGGCTCTCGTACAATTCCATCACCCAATCTGACTTCAGAGACAACTGTCCCAGAAGTTTTCGCTTTTAAATAGTCTCATGGAAAGAAGATGACACTTATAAGAAATGCTCTAAATTAATGAACAATCGAGGAGGGAGCTTGAGCACAATTGAGGAGGGAGCTCTGGAGCTTGCTCTGATTGATCTCTGTGGTCATGGTGCTACAGGTGCAGGTAAAGGAGGAGTAAATTGAGCACAGTTGTAAAAAAAAAATCAAACAAACATCACAATAAGCAGAGGAAACAGGAAGATTACTTGATGGATCACATTATTTTAAACTTTCTCCTGGTTACGCAGTGTCTGAGGTTAGCTGAGCTGAGTCATGGGGGTTCAGATATAATAGAGAATAGAACAGAGATTTGCTCAAGGACTTGGCTTCTTCTATCTCCCAATGAATGTATTATGTTCTACCAGAAGGGAATCTTAGTCTACGTATTCCACAAAGAGATTCTAGACTACCGTGGACACTTCCCTCAAACAGCTACTCATATGGTACAAATCAGAAATATTTTTCCTGGTGTAATGAACATATGAACAGGCTGAGATTTATAACCTATTTTATAGTTTAAAATTTCCTTCCATAGATCATCTCATTTTTAAGTGATGAGTGTCCCTGTCTTTTTATGCCTTTGTCTTCAGCAGGGAGATATATATTATGAGTGATTTCCCAATCTCCCTGACGACCTGAGTTGAACTTGTGACAGTACACCCGGTTGTTCTGAGGGACACACCTGGAACAGTTGGCGATCTCCATGCTGGGGCCGTCGCACGGTGAGCCGCCACACTGCGGCGTGGGGCTGTCGCAGGAGCGGGCTCGACAGAGGCAGGATCCCACGGCGCTGCCATCCGTGTGCGTGCAGGGTGTCCATGGAGACCACGCACCGAAGTGCCCATCCACTGTGAGATTCCTGGTCTAGGAAGCAGATACACGTAAGGGCGTCAGCAAGGGCTAGCGCTGCCAGTGTGCGAGGGTGCAAATGAAAGCTCTCTCACCAGACAAGTGCAGCCCCTTTAGGATGTGTTTTATTACCGTCAGTAAGGTATGCATGAGAAAGCATTTCAGAGGAAAGCAGCAGAGGTCATTGGTAGAGATGGTGAGGACGGAGGAAGGCAGGGGGAAAGGAAGAGACAGAGAAAAAGGGGAAGAGGGAGAGAAAGAAGGGGAAGGGAAAAGAGGAGGGGAGGGGCAGGGAATTAGATGGGGAGAAGGAAGAGGCAGGAGGAAGCGAGATGGGGCCAAGAAGACAGGTGAGAAGAGGAGGACGAGGAGGAGGGAAGAAGGAGAGAGAGGACACCAGGAGGAGAGAAGGCTGCTAGTGACCTGGACATCAGGTTATGACAGAGTTGTCCACTGATGTGGGAAATCCAAAAAACAGGAAGAGCCAGTGTGAAAAATCACAGATGTGCAACTCCGTTGCATGTTTATATACCTTTAAAAAAGAAAGCTTGGTGAAGAAGTTACCACGGAAGACCTGGCCTGGCTCTAATGTCACCTCAAACCGACAATATTTAATTCACAACACATTTCAAGAGTGTCCGTGAAGCAACTGGAGCTTGTTAGGTGTTGGGCATGTCCCAGGCAAACCTGCGCCATAACCCCCCTCTGACAGTTCAAGAACCAGAAGGAAGAGATGGACACACAATTACTACGTGTGTCAAACCCAATGACGGAGTTACGAACGGGGCCCGTGGGAGCAGAGGAGGGGCACTCAACAAGCTCCCGGGGTCTGGGAGGAATGACGAGGGGCCCGTGTTGGGTCTCAGAGGAGGAAGGGGGGACCAGGTTACAGAGCTGACAAGTGCAGGAGGACCCAGGGTGTGTGGTGGCATGACCCTGTGGGGGCACTGAGGGTGGGCAGGAAAGCCCTGGCACCTCCTGAGCACATGATGACGAGTCCTGGTGTGGCCGGGCATCAGCGTGTGCTTGTGGCACTGAGGACAGGATGTCTTCCTGCCAGTCTGTTGGGAAAATAGAATAGTTTGGTCAGGACCCTTGCCTTGGGTCCAGTTGGGTGTGGTTCAGCCTCCTTTGTAAGCAAATTGTGTGTGTGTGGAGTTAGTGCGCATGTGTGCCAATATGTCTTTTTAGTTTTCTTGCTATTCTTGTGTTCTTCAGAGAAAGAGAGAGAGAGAGAGAGAGAAAGAGAGAGAGAGATTGGTGAAGCAGGCAGGTAGGCATCTGCCTCGGGGGTCTGTCCTGCACAGCCATGCTTTCCAACCTATGGCTGCGAGGACCTTTTGGCCAGTTTCCTAGCTCACAGACCTGCATGAAGGGGTCTGGTGACCCAGCCTGGCATATGAAGGGTTTGTGATCCAGTCTGTGAATGGGCTTGAGGGGTCTGGAAGCTCCAGACCCAGCCCTAGCTCAACACAGTCCGACACACAGATTTTCTCAGGAGTCTGAGTGTGCTCCCAAGAAAGTAGACACATGGGGCCATGCCTCAGGTCACTCGCCCCAAAGAGGAATGTCCACTCTGAACAGGGGCAGGAGGAAGGCTTACAGTCCAAACCTCCTTTATAATCTGGGAAGTGAAGCATCTTCTAGAAAAGCCAACAGATGAAGGGTCTGACAGTGAATAACTGCGGGCTCTCGCCTGGCCTCTGCCGCCAGCTGTACCCTCCCCTTGGGTGAGGCTTCCATCCTGAACCACTTAATCTGTTTATTCATCCCGATAAAGACTCATCTTCCTCCTGAGCATGAGACACGTGTTCTTTGGGGGCTACAAACCATGTCTATACTGCACCATTTCAGAATAATGCCCCCATCATATCATGTGTGTGAAAACAAGGGCAAGCTTTCCTCCTGATCCATCACTTCTCCAAATGCGACAGGAAATAGTTAAGTATTGAGTGCGCTCATTTCCTCCCACATGGCTGGTTGGTTATATCCATCTGGTACAATTACAACGCTCTTCCTCCTCTTTTCTAGTCACCTCTCATGTTTTATATCCACTGAGGCGGGTGAGTGTGCATTCTCCTCCAGGCCTGGCATTTCTATGAGACGCCATGGCACATGGACGGATGGAGCCACATCACCTGTTAGAGCAATTCCAAGTGGTGAGCTGGATCCCACCCAGAGTGTGAGTAACCATACACAGGCAGGATTTTGCAAAACAGACCCATTTTCCTGGTCCCTATAACTGCCGCCCCCACCTGCCCCCAGTCTGGCCAAGATAAAAATGTAGCTCCTGCTCTGACCATAACGTTCCCTGGGGACCACAGTGTCTGCTTGGAGAACCAAGCCTTGCATGACAAGGTGATTCACACCCCTGCCATTTGGGATTTTCAACACTCAATCTTTCACCCTTTTACCAGCCTTTCCTCTTGCCTAAGTAGATAAGGGGTCAGCAGTTCCCTTCACTGTGGTTTAACACAGTCCCTCTGCTAACAAATCCTCACGGAGTTTTATATCCGCATTCCTGCCTGATAAACACACATTGCTACTAGTGTTTGCACTATAAAAAGCATGAGTCTCTCGCTCGTGGAACCAGCATCAAGTAATAATGGTGATCAGACAGAATATTTGTGTAAGGTTTATACACATAGGTCCATCCTACTTGGACTATTCATACTGATCGTTCCTGTCATTTTTTGGAACAAGCTGTCAGTCTGGGACAGGTTAAGTTGCTCTGGGGAATCCGGTGGAGCCAGCTCTCTCCTAGCTCCTGCCCCTCAGGACTCTGAATGGGGCTGAGAATAGCACTGACCCCACCACCCACCTGCCCTACAGGGAGATTCCTCCAGGGTAAAAAGAGGAGTGATAGGAGTTTTCTGCCCTCAAAGAAAATGGCACCTGAGTGCTTGTCAAGTGGCTGGCAGCATAAGAGCCTAATGGAAGGTGACAGCATTAGTGGGCCACGTGGAAACGATGCTGAGCTCCATTTTGGCTTTGCAAACACAGATAAAGTACCACTCACCTTCTTAAGGCATTCAAATGCTGCTCCACTGTAGAAGGTTAGAAATTTTGATTCTCATATGATTTTAGGATAGGGTTTTTAGGTAAATACATGTATGGGCAAAAGCTCTCGGGTAGGAGACCACAGTCTACAGACAGCATGGCAAAAGCCCATTTAATCAATTCTAATTAAATAATGTTGATTCTCATTTGATTTTAGAATAAGTATTTAGGTAAATGCAGGGATGGGACAAAAGTCTCTGGTCAGGGGGCCACAGCCCACAGACAGCATGGCAACAACCCATCTAATCAACTGTAATCACTGCTAGGTATGGGGTTGTATACTTTAATGATTTTAGAGCTAACAGGTGGTTGTCATACCAATCCTCTTAAGAGATTTTAAGAATTGCTGAAGGGAAAGATGTGAAAAGATGTTTGGTAGGAGCAAGCTGTCTGTTGGGGGAAACTTTAGAGATAATTATAGTTAGATTTTATTGTAAGAATGCAACTTTTGCTTAAGGAGAGGTTATATTTTAGATAATGATCACAGTTTGACGAACTTAGCTTTTCACAAATTGAACTTTGGAATGTCGCATTGTTAATTTTACTGATGTTACTAGTTTCCATTGTTTAAGCTACACTTAGCCATAGATAACTTTTGTAACACTGCCCATGTCCTTGTGTCCTTTTGTAATGATTGAATCAACTGATTTTTCTTGTGAAACTTCCTTGTCTTTACAATAAAAAACAGAAGCTAACTTTGAATTGGGGCTGTACCCAGTTTTCTCCTCCTAACAGAGGAGTTTCTGAGGTGCAGTCCCTTCTGGTTTCTCATCGCATTCATGTTGCTCTGAGTAATCCTTTTTTTGTCTGCATTACACTGTGAGAAGTGTAACACTCCACCTCGGACAGAACCCGGGTCTGGACCACTAGGAACTCAGTTCTCAAGAGTCCACAGACCAGTAGCCTTCCCGTCTGCTTCTGTCATGGAGAGTTTTTCTGAAAAGGGAAATTGAGGACAGGATTCTCACTAGGGATAAGGGGAGAAAAGGAAGCTTCCACTGTTTTGGACATTTTCACATTAAACAGATTTTATATCTATATATCTATATAAATAAAATATATATATATATATATACACATATATTAATTGCTGATAAGTTTGGCTCTTTGGCTGGATTTGTACCGGAATACAAAGTCTTTCCTAACAGGCCAGTTACTGATGGAAGGATGAACTGTGGATAGAAGAGATTTCAGAGAACAGCTGTATTGTGCTAGTGGGTGCCAGGGGGCTGGGGCTGCCATGTGCACGACATATGGGCAGGTGGTTGTACCTCCTAACTCCCTCAAATACATACATTAAAAAAGGTTGCAGTTCATCCAAAATGATGCATAAACCTAAAGAGATTAAAAATAAGTAAGTTTTTAAAGCAAAGCATGAAAAAACAACCCAAGCCGTATATTTACTCAAAACATCAACATCTGTGTAATTTAACACATTATGCAGACCCTAAAATTTTGTATACAATACCTCCTCCTCCTCTGCAGGCCCATTTTTCTGTGGACTAGACTGTGATCCAGCCTAATGTTGGAGAGAAGGAGACAGAAGACTCTAGAACATCATGGCAGTGTCAAGAAAAGGGAGCCACACAAGTTACAAAACACAAAATAACATGGCTTCATGACACAGGTGGGGTCCCAGAGACAAAGGAGCTGTGACTTAAGCACAGGCATTTGTCATGACTCTAGCAGGAAACAGAAGCCATAGTCCCTGGGACTTTGAAAAGAGTGTGGTGAAGGCCCATTGGGCAGAATTGTGGGCTGGGTTAAAGGGATATCAAGGGACGCCAAAGCCCCCAGGGATGAACAACACAAAAACCATGGCCACCCTATGCCTGCAGGTGGGAGGGAGGAAGGGTTGTTGGAGCCAAGTGAGGGCTGGAGCCTGGAGAGGAGCTGCCAGGCAGGAGTAGTTGTCATGGTGTGAAGCCCCAGCCAGAGCTGCAGCCTGAGCTAAA